TTAATTTTAATTTTAATCAATTAAAATCAAAATAAAAAATTTGTTTTCTTAATCTCACTAACGATATTAAAGAACTCAATATCACATGTGGTTTAGTAGCTACCATATTGTATACTACAGATAATGAATATTTCCATCATCACAGAAAAACTATTAGCACTGATATTGACAAAATTTGGAGAATACTCATTGTTTATATGGGAAGTGGGGGAACAGACCCTTTCATATAGTTTTGGTGGGGACAAAAATGCTACTAACAAAATCACACATGCACTTCATAGAAAAAAAGGAAAACAGAAATTGTTTAAATGTTCATCAATTGGGAACTAGTTAAATAAGTGAGCAAACACCCACACAATAGAAGAGTATGCTATTTGTTAAAAACCGTATACATAAGCAAAACGTATCAGCACAGAATGCTGTCCTGGATGTATTTTTGTAAAAAACGCAAACCAGAAACCACTTAATATGAATGGTGTAATCCTATTTGTGTTTGAATATACATATATGTGTATATACTTTTTACTGTGATAAAGGACCATTATACTCTTACTTTATTTAATCAATCATATTTTAGAGAAATGAGCTACCCAAAAGAATGTGTGTTGAAAGCCTGTTTGCCCAGCCTTGTGCTAGCCTGAACTGAGTCAAGATCTAGCTTATAGATTCTGCTTCTGTTTGCTGAGGTCTTTATATATCCAGCGCAATCCTAAGTCATTCGCCTCCCAAAACTAGGTTAAATATGAAGTCATATTTTGTGAATTTTTACAGTTACTGCAATACCCACCATGGGCCTCCAAGAAAGTCCCTGAAGCCAAAGAATTATTTTAGGGAAACTGGTTGATATTTGGAGTTCCTGGAGGGAAAGTTCTCTCCCAGATCATCTCTCTTCTACCACCCCTCTTTTCTCTGCTTCACAGAACCCCAGCTTGCCCTTTCCTCCACCACCTCACTCCCTTAACCTGTTCCAGGCAAGAGAAATGCAGATCCAGATTTTCAGGCAACTTCAGAATTCACTTGGGATTGAATATCCAGCAGGTCAAGCAATGATTGAAGCTGCTTCATATGACTTCTTATAAACACACAAGGGAAATTATGCAGCAGCCTTCATGGGAGTTTATTCTATCTATCTATCTATCTATCTATCTATCTATCTATCTATCTTATATATGCACATATATGCATGTATGTATAAATGTGCATATGTACATACACATTATTTGTCCATATGTATATACACATTATTTGTCCATATGTATATACACATTATTTGTATTATACACATAAATCCATGCACACACATGGATTTATGCATACATTTGGTTTCCATGAGTGCTCCTAGGGCAATTCTAAGCATTGAGCAGGCAAATGTTTGTGTTTACTAATGTAGGAAGGTACTAGAGAGAGGAGGAATGGTTAGAAGGGAGAGAGGACCCTAGTGTCTGTAGGTAGACCTGATCCCCAGGCAAGGAAAGAATTGGGCTCATGTGGTTATTTTTGTTGGATCAAATCATTAGATAGTAAATATGATGTGAGTCTTTGAGCCAGGTCAGCGATAAAGGAAATGTTTTTATTTCTCAGTGTGTACAGAATTACAAGCTCCCTAACAGAAAAAGAGCATCTAGACCCTTTAAAAATCTTCACATCATAAAACATAAGCGTGGCTTCCTGCATCATCCGCACTCCCTGAAGAATTCCTCCTTCACCAACCATTCCCGGAACCGAGTGACATTTGGTCATTCAGCTTAGAGCCTCCCTCTGGTCCTGGTGGCCTCTCTGCCTGGAGAGCTGACCTGATGAGGTCCAGGAGACACGGGCCTTGCCTTCCAACAGTTTTCTCCATTTTAATAAGTCTCATTTGCCCATAAGACTCATGCTTTCTTTGAGTTTTTGATTCATGCCAGGCACATTTACTTGGCATTTTGGCTTGAAGAGCACTAAGGTTTTAACCCACTCAGGACTGTTTTCCTGCCTCGTTCTGGAAACTTAGATTTTTGCCTGATTACTCCCCAACCACTGCCAGCTCTCTGCTCCCATGTCCTCTTACGTCTGTCATCCCCCCAATACCTATAGCCCCAGTCAGCTCACCTCCCAGTGCACACACACACACACACATGCACAGATACACACACATATTTTGACTGTAGATGATGGACAAATAATCTTTACAGCGCTGCAATGTTGAAGGTTTGATTATTCTTTTAATTAATACAACTAAGGCCAGGGAGAAGAAGCCTTTGGAGACGTTATGTGAAAAGGTACATTTCCTCTTAAAGTCTGTCTCTTTAATTTTTTCTTCCGTCAAAAACTTGTCCTTCAAACAAAGATTCCTGAAAGATTTGTTTTTCATCTGAGACCAAACTACTGGCTACTGATTGGGTAGAATTGTGAATTGTGGGGCACGAGAAGAAAGAATTTTGAATGGAAATCAATTTGTAAATATTTTTCTTTCTCTACCTCCCTTAGGAATGACTCACATACCATGAAAATGTTGTCTCAGATTTTGAGTTCAACATAGACATTCATTTTCATTAATTATTCCAATGATACACAATATCATTCCCTTTGGGGGACGCACAGAAAGAAAGTCGGATTTAAAGAGTCAGGCCTTTTCAGAGCAACCCTGCGGGAGGCCAAGTATGCCCAGCCTCTGCCATTCCTAATGGTGCCAGGGGCAGGCTGTGCCTTTGAGCAGGGTGTGGGGCATCTAGTCTGCCTCCATGTGGGCTGCCCCAGGGCATCTCGGGAGGAGGACACTGCCCAGGGCACTCCTCAAGGCTGCCTGCCCATCACTGCTCTCTCTTTCTTTGTCTGTATGCCATGAGAGCATGGATGCTCGGCAAACTGGTGAAGTCTCTCATCACCTGTCTCCCACGTCAGAGCAGGACCTCACTGTTTACTTTGATGCTGTGCTGGATTTTTGTTTCAAACCAGCACTCTACAGATAGTTTTAGACAAACCAGTAATAATTTTTATGGGCTGCAAAATACTTTTCTCTCAGGATGTTTTGTTATGCTTTGAGTACATCTTAATACACTGAGGTAACATTCATAGACTCTTAGAGGAATCACCTCCACAGACATCCCATCCATCGCCATGACACCTGGCAGGCTTCACCCAAACCCCCCAGACATAGATGAATATCCTGTTTTCACAGGTCATCAGGAAAAGAGACCCCACAACCATGCTGGCCTAACCCTCTTCAGTGTTGACTTCCTTTCAGTGCTGTCATTATCTTTGTATTAAAGGGAAACACCCCATGCTAGATTTCCATGAGCGTTAAAAATCCACATTTGGGTATTTTGAACCAGATGTCACAGAGCCTGATTGTCAGCACACTAATTAGCTGGCACTAAAAAATGCAATCCCAAATATTGACATCTACCCTTGGGGTTGGACCCAGTTGGACAACTTTCACTTTACAGTAAATGCCTGACCTACCATCCCCTTAGGATCCTTCCATGTGGGATCTGGTCATCATTAAATGGCGAGGTTCTGCAGGTGTATTGTTACGTCTTTTGGCTCCCAGAAATCACAGCCATTATGTCCCTTTCCCTAAATCGTGTTAGCAGGAGCAGAAGTGCCATAAAAAGCAAAGCGCTGTATTTCCTACAGAGTGCTCGCTTCGACACATGCAGACGTCTGACACTCGGTTAGTTCCTTTGGTTTTTAGAAAAGGCAGCCTTAGAGGAATCCTTTCTCTGGCTTCCCCCTTCTGTGATGCAATGCGGGAAACCCCAATGTGGTCTCTAAGGGGTCCAGTTACATTTTGGCACATGGTAATCCATAGAGCCTTCTGCAGTTAGACGAAAATAGGTACCTCCCTTTCTTCCGGCTATTTCCCTTGGCGAAGTAAAAAGTCAAAAGGAACTGGACTGGTCAGGAAAGCCCTGACCAAAAGCTCAGACAAGACACAGCTCCATGAGATTCAGTGTGCACAGTCATTGTCTGAGACTGAGGGTCTGAAATTGACACCATATGCGCCCCAGGAGTGATTACTCGAAGGGGGGAAAAAAGCAACATGTCAGAACATTTAAGTAACACCTAATTCATCCCAAGGTTATAAATAAATATGATGCTTGCTTAAAAACAAAAGTCAAAAAATACTTCAACTAGATTACTTCTGTGACAGTGCTTCAGGCAGAGGTGAACTTTATTAGGGAGACAACATGAATAAAGAGAAACACGTAACAACTTTTTATGGTATATTTTACGTGATTTTATTTTTTTTGCAGTAAATAAAGTGGTTATAGGGCTCCAAGGAAAAGGGCCCAGATGTTAGACAGTTGTGTGAAATTTAGGGGAAACAAGTTGTAAAAAACACAGTCATAAAACAGGCTGTCAGTGCCACACATCTGGACAATACAGCTGTATGTTCCTAGTGGCTGTCGTCACCCAAAGAAAACTGAATAACCTTATTTCACCCCAATTAGGCTGCATACCGACATGATCAACATTAGGTTGCAAGGGGGAGCAGCATGCATATGGCGCCTTTGTGTCAAGAAGCTTTTATCTTTCATTTGAATTTAGTTACAAAGAAATAAAAGACTGCTAACATAGTCATTTCCACTATTATAAAACCCTGTTTAATTTATAATGTCCTAATAAGTCAAAGTTTGACAGTTTGGACTACTGGCTACGCCAAGCAACAATAGACTTTCTGTAGCATGAATCACCCTATCAGTCATCCTAAAATGGAGCCCCGCCTATCTCTTCTCTACCCCTTTTCTGGAGTCTGAGTCTAACACCATTGTGGGAAGCACTCTGCCTTTCTGGAAAAAGAAGTCAATATTCAGACAATCCAATTTAAAGTAGAGGGTAAATGCCCCTCTCTGTAGCATTCGGACATTTTTTCCCTAACTTTCTTTTAGCGAACAATGAGATATCTTTCCAGTAGGACAAATAATAGAAAATATAAAATTTCCTTTCATCTTTTCATCACTGACAGACTGTGCCAAAAGTTATAAAACATCACTTTTTCTAATTGTGTTTCTGTATAGGTGTTAATGGCAGCAAAAGCAATTATGGATAGCGGAGAGAAATTAACCTTACCACTGATAGGGAAACTCTTGAAATTTCAACTTCTCCAGATTAAATTTAAGGACCAACAGCGACGGGAAAGTGAAAAGAAGGTACTGTACGATGTGGTGGGTTTTCTAAAGAGGGCAAGTGGTGAATGAAATGGAGCCAGGTTTCTCCAGGGGCACTTCCTCTCTTCTTAAGCCTACCATTAAATGTTACCTGGCAAATTTGGCTGTCACCTCAACTTCTTAGAGAAAAGGCTGTCCAAAGATCTAGAGGAATTATGATAAACCCATTAAAAATAGGTTCCCTAAAATATGAAAGTAACAATATTCAGAGCATGTGCCCAAGATTGTTTCTATGGCAGTATATCTATATAATAAAGTTGTAGCCAAGAAGGGACCCAGTGAAGAGACAGGGAGTCAGGAAAACTAAATATAAAAAGGATAGTTTGGGGGAACGGGTCTAACTTTGGGGGAATGGGTCTAACTATTTAAGATAGTTTATATGATACACCATAGAAGTGGCTTTTAAAATAATATGCACATCTGCACCTTCATAATGATCTGAATATTTCAGGAGCAGTCTATCATTTCTACTCCTTTATTATACATCTGATAATTTCTTCATACCTGGATTTTTCATTTAATTTGCTTATAGAAATCAATCTGTGTGTTTTCCGAAGACTCATATTTGCATATGAAAAATATTTTAAAATGCTATTAGCAAACTGATACCAGGTTCAAAACCATTTGCTATCATCATGACCCAAATTAGGATGTTTTTCTTATTTTCTGAATCATGCTGAATTATGTTTGGAAAGCCCAGTGCTTCAGTATGTACATATGTAATGTGTGTGTGTGTGTGTGTGTGTGTGTGTGTGAAATGGATTTGCACGTGAAGTTATTTCTTTATGCCTTTAGGTGGAAAAGGTAAAACCAATTCATGGAAGAAAAAAGAGAAAAATGTTCCAATAATGCCTTCTTCACGTTTGCAAGACCCCCAAAATCTAGGTTTCCTATTTGAATTGGACTCTTAACAATGTAATTGTAGAAAAAAATAATGCCACCTTGTATTTTCAATATAGAACTTTACGGTTTTCAGAGCTATTTCCCATATAGCTTCTTATTAGGGTGGCATATATTGTGCCCAGAAAAATTCTACTCATATTAACACAACTGATAGTATAGTTTTCTATCTAATAAAACTCCTTCCATTGTGTCGGGGGAGTTGTACCTTAAGAAATACTCAGGCTAGTTAAGACTTGGCAGAAGAAAAATTGGAAAATTTGAAACTAATATAGAAACCTCTCTTCTTGCCTGTTTTAAATTCCAATGCCATATGGGAATCTGAATTATAAAAAAGTAGACTGTGATTCTTACAAAAATTTCTGGACTTTCTGTTTGCTTTGCCCTTTCCCACAGCACTTAGAAAATAGTGTGCTAAAGAGCATCAATTTACTTGTTTGCCACTTATTAGGTCATTAATTGTTTATTATAGGAGTAGACTGTAGATTTCAGTTAACGAATTTGAAGTAAAAACAAATAAAATACCCTAGTAGCTTAGAAAAAGGTTTTAAAGCTTGTAACAATATAAAAATATTTTTGCACCATTATTTTACTCAGCGTTTCTTTGAAATGTGAACTGTAATAGTACAAGTAAGAGGCTCTAAATATATGGAAACAATCCTAATTTATTTGTTGAAAATTTGACAGTTCTGGGTAATTGGGGCATGAACCTTAGAGTTTTTATTTTCTTTTAAGTATTATATACAGTAAGAGAGCTTTTGAGTAATTAGGAGCCAGTGATTACATAATCTAATATGATGTCTCCATTATTTTGGGTTCCCAAAACACCAACCCCAAATCTCTGAGTCACAACCATATGAGTAAGTGTTAAATAAATTGATGAAAACTGATTGAAATGGACTATAATCAGGAAAATATTCTTGGAAGAGATGAAAGCACTTGTTTGTGGGATGATATCACTGGGGTTCATTTCAACAACACTGCCTAAGAGGTCGGTTGAAACAATCAAGGTTAATGCTTGTCAGCCAAGGACTTTGCCAATACACAAAATAAGCAGAAGAGGACTTTACCTAATCTCTTCATCATTCCAGAACCAACAGGGAGATGCTGAAATTTCTATAAGGGGAGTGACTGACTCTTCAACTAGGTCAACGTTATCTATGTAGATGTTGTCTTTCAAAGGTTAATTAAGTGCTTACATCTGTACAACCCAAAGAATGCTCTGTATCTTCTGTTTCACTTTTGAAATTGTAATTTTAAGAATCAGTACTTGAAAAATACCCATAGTAGAAATCATAGAAAACCTTAGGCAAAAGTGAGGGCAAAAATAAGTAATATGACTAGGTACCTGTTCTAATGTTCTAAGGTATCACTAAATATTCGATCCTGTTTTAATCAATCAAAACTTTTGGGAAAAAACGTAAATTATATAGTTTTACTTGCCAAATACAGTAAAGAAATATTATTTTCAACTCCACTACTTTTAATAACATAACACTTTAGTCTGGACTATGCTTAACATTGCTTTTGCTTTCTGCTTTGCAAGAAAGCTTGCTAGATAATTCATATTATAAAAAATATGAGAAAAGACATTTCTAAAACAGTTTTAAGTTCTTCAATATGTAAATTTCTGGGATGCAAATGCCAGCCTCTAATTGCAAATAACTTAAATCTATCTGAAAACATTTATTTATTTGGAAATACCTTGTTGATGAACTTCAAATATAAATATCATAAAGAAAATGTACTGTATTTTCATAAATATATTTTAGCATTTCAGAACTTTTGAATATGATTTTCTCACACAATAACTCTAAATTAGTTCAATTTTATTATATCTTAAAACTTAGAAGTATTTTGTTTAGAAATATATTTTTCTTACATCATTATCTCAACATTTGCTCTGCATTTTTATTTCTATCATTATCAATCTGTTGTTAACTTATTAATTCAACAAACATTTACTGAAACAAACGTTTACAGAAGCAATGTACTGAACACATATATTCTCATCATGTTCCTTATAATTTTAAAATAAATTATTTGGTTTTCATTCTGATCCATTTTAATGTAGTCATTATCTAAATATTATATATCTACTCATATTTTTGTTTCTTTTTAGCTCCAACTTTTGTGGACACATTTAAAGTCAGAACAATTTTGAACCCAAATATTTTGAGAATTCAACTAAAAGAAAACACTTGATAATAAAAAAAAAAAATGAAAAAGAGCTACAATACAAAAAGACATTAACCATTTAAATAATTGGCCAAATAAAATCTAGTCTTATGTTCCTCTGTATTGATTTCAGAATGTTTGTACAGGTTTTGGGAGAAAATCCAAATATCTTCCAACTGTGCTTTTAATTTATGAATTCAAATAAGTCGTCCATATTTCATTAGATGTTTTTAGAAAGCATGTCTTTTCTATAAAAGAACAATTCTTTCTCTTGCTAGTTAATATCCATAGTACAAATTGCCTTATTTTCTGATGTACTAGAATTGAAGAGAAGGAAGATACTTGGTAAAGAACTAGGGAAACTTTCTGTAACGCTGGTAAACTGTTCTTAAAACAATTCAAGATTAAAAGTGCTTACATTTGATAATAAGCTATGATTAAGCCACAAGCAACCCAGAGCCTCCTCCAAAAGAGGGACAACGAGAAATGAGAGCAGCTTTCACAGACACCTTCCAGTTTCCTTCAGTCGAAATTCCAAAACACTGGAAACCAGCCAATGTAATGCCGTGTGTGTGTGTGTGTGTGTGTGTGTGTGTGTGTGTGTGTGTGTGTGTTGTTTTAAAGGGAAGGCCATAGGGACATACAAGGAAATTACAGGCTGGTTAGTTTTGATTCAGTTGTGGTTAAAATCTTCAGAAACTATTTTAAGAAATCAAACAGAGAAAGAACAGGAACTCAGTTTAGAGGGATCTGTGTGGTTTCAGGACAGGAATAACTTGCCTCACTAACTGGATGGGATTCTTTGAGGCTGGATTATTAAAATCAGGATCCAACTAATATGGATGTGGAATCTAAGGAGCTTCAAAAGCCAACAAATCAGGAGTAATAATAAATGACCCACCCCCCAGCTGGCTTATCCATAAAATAGAGTAGTCCTTTCCTAATTGGTTTGCTTTTAATTAATGAAAACGTTTTATAGACTTCAGGAAAAATGCAAAGAAACATACATCTTTAACATACAGTAGCACTTTAAAATATGGAAGAGCTATGATCATAGCAGCTAATAATTATTGTTAGCTATCATTATTGACTATTTGACACATTACTAAGCCCTTTGCACATGTTATATCATTTAATCTTTTAAATGACTTTATTAGGTACAGAGTATTGTTCCCAATTTGCAGATGCAGAAAATGAGGGTATGAAAAGTTAAAGAATTTTCCCAAGGCCAAACAGCTACTCGTAGTGGTAGAGCTGGGGTTCAAATCTAGAACTGTCAGACTCCAAAGACCATGTTCTTAACCCCTATGCGTATCCTTCCTAAGTGTGTCTCAATAATTATGAAATGGCACTCTTGGCTCCCAGTCAGTAGAGTGCCTGCCCAGAGACATTTCCCTGTAGGACCCATGGCTGGGCTCAGTGATCAACTCAGAAAGATCTGGTTCTATTCATTACACTGTGTACAACATCATAGTTGTACATTTTAGGTTAAATAGGGGGACGGCAGTCAAGGGAAGGAAAAAAACTCACCGAAGAGCAACGTTCTGAGCTAACCAACCACTGATTCCATAGGGAACCCTGCCTTAATTTCCAGTCCTGCCGCCCACCCAGAAATGACTCAGTCTCTAGGAGAAACTCTTAAACTGGACATTCAGAGATTGTTCCAAACGTCCCTCTGCATGGTAAGACAGGATAGCATTGACTGATCTAGTAGTAAAGTATTTCGTAGACTACATAGAAAATACAGAGAAAGAAAAGCAAAAATTTTACAATGCATAACCCTATTATAATTAATGTTAACATTTTGGTGTTTTTCTTTCTATTTCTTTCTGCAGATCTATTTCTTTACATAGCTGTAATCATTGTAAAAATCCACCACTTTTTCAGTTAAGATAGATTATCAT